ACTACAGTAACAATTTCTTGCATTAGTCAGCTTTCTCACTTCTGGGACAAAATACTCAACATCCACAACTTAAAGGAGAAGAGGTTTATTTTGACTCATGGTTTCAGTCTATGGTCATCTGAGTCCATAAATATTGTAGCCGAGGGGCATGGCAGAAAGGATCTGTTCGCCTCAAGGCAGCCAGAAACAGAACCAGAGCAAGAGATACCCTCCAAAGGCATGCTCCTATCCACCTGCCTCCTCCAACTGGTCCCCACCTCCTAAAAGTAGTCAGTAGAAACTCACCAGTTGATGCATCCACTGAAGAGTATAGCACCTCCTTAAGTCAATCACTCTTCAAAAGCCCCACCTCTGAATATATAAGTCTGTAGGGGAACTTTTATTTTATTTTATTTTTATTTATTTATTGTTTCTTTTTTTTTTTTCTTTTGGTACTGGGGATTGAACTCGGGTCCTTGCTCTTGCAAGGCAGGCCACCGAACATGAGCTAAATCCCTAGCCCGGGGACCTTTTAGATATAAGCCATAATGGGTACTAAATGTAGTGTCAGCGTATAGTAAATACTTTTTAAAATATTTACTTTCAAAGATCTAGCAGCATTTTCTTTGTTTACAAAGTAAACTATGTTTAAAAACCAGAAAAGTTCCAAACAGGCAGAAATGCAGTTTGGTATACTGAAGAAAAAATCTTACTTTGTGTTTTGATACCGGACAATCTACTTTGGAGTCTTAGAACTAAAACGTGGAGTAACCTTGGAAGTCATTTGCAATGTTTTTCTGTGTTCTAGTGTCTGCTTTGCAGGGTTGTTGCTAAGATTCAATGAGATAACACCTGGTACTCAGTAGGACCTCAACAAACAGTAGCTATTCATCTTCTCTCAAAAATACTCAACAGCTAAGCGAGAAATAAATCATTTAGAGTTCACACATAGAACTCAACGGTGGACAGTTCAGCCAGACAAGAATCTGAGAAAGAGCCATCGCTAAGATAAGAAAATCCCATCTTTTGGAAGAACAGGTAGACATCCTCCCCTAAATCCCTGGGTTTTGTCTCTGTGCCCTGCGTGAGTGGTGACGAAGATTGGATGGAGCTGTGAGGGTGATGGGGGTATTTTCAAAGCTCTCAGGAATATGCTTGATTCAGAGAACCCCTGACAATCAGCCAGATGGACCTGTAGGCGAGAACATCCTGAGCATGTGGAATGGAGGATGGAGGAGCTACCCAGGGAACCCCAGCCCCCAGGCCATTGCACAAGCTGCGTGGGCACTGTGGAGACAGAGTTGACACATGGACCTGCCCACCTCAACCCTGCGGTCTGGGTCCAGGTGCCAGCTCATCCTTCCCCGCCTAGCAGGAGTGGCAGGTGGTGAAGCCCTGAACAGGCCACAATCCTGTTTCTACTCCCCCTCTCTGGTCATATACTCATTTTATTTTTAATCTTACAATATGAAGCAAACTATTTATGATGCAATAAAAAGAGGAAAAAGAGAGAAAGGAAGGAATTAGAAACAGAAAGATAAGGGAAGGGGAAGGGAAAGGAAAAGGAGAAAAAAGAAAGGAAGTAGTTCATAGAATGCAGAATTGTATTGAAAGTCCTCTATTCATGTCTGCCCGTACCCAGTGGAGTCTGGGTAATCAGTGTGTGTACAGTTTCTCACTTGAGTTCCCCTACCCAGTGTCAAGCTGAGTCCTCCCCAGACACCAGCCCTGCATGCACTCTTAATAATTTAGGTCTGAATTGCTATAGAAAGAAAAGCACATCATAGTTTTCTAATATATATATTTAAGCACTTTCTTCCCTATCAAGATGTAACATTCCATCAAGTGTTACTGGTAGAGAGAAATCCATTTTCAAGCAGACTTCCACATGGTTGAGAAGTGCCGTGAAGCCTGGGCAGGCTACTTGTAATTTTGCTGTATGACTTGGGGAAGTTGCTCAGTGTCCATATAATTCAATATTCACCTGAAAAAATTGGGATAATATCACTTACTTCAGAAGATGCTTCTGAAGTTAAACCACAGTAAAGATGTAAACAGTTATGATGCCTGGCCCAGGTGGGGCCTGCTGTTAGTTCTTGTTATTTGATCAGACTCTGTTGTGTTCACCTTTTAATTTAATTCTCAGAGAATCTATTACTCTCTATTTTAGCTTCTTGTGGGTCACCCACAACAGAAATCCATCTAAAAAGGAGTCCTGTGAATTATGACCTAGAATCCATGTCTGTAAGAGTTAGTTCGTTTGGGCAGGACTTACCAGCAGGTGTATGCATGGTTTTCAGATTACACTACTGTTATATATTCATATGAGATAATTTGGAGAATGTGAAGCACAAAATAAAATAAAAATCTTCTGTAATATGTGTGGCTTGACTGGGCATCATGCAAAAGTTATAGTTTCTGGGGGTTTGTTGGGGCTTTATTAGATGCCAGATATGGTATTGTTATGGCTTGTGTGTAACTGTACCCCCCAAAGCCTCATGCAGTCATGAGGTGGGGATTTTCAGAGGTGGCTGGATCTAGAGTGTGTGGTTCTGGGATCATGGGTGTGTGATTAGTAAATCAGCCCACTGATTTGTTTGGCCTAGTTCTGGCTAGGATTAAGGGTGTGAGTGCTGCACCAGCCCTAGGGAAGGTAGCCTGCATAAAATGTAGGAGCAGAAAGAGGGCTAATGTGCTCTTGCCTACCTGTTTGCCATGGACCATTTCTCCTCTGCCATGCCACCCTGCCTTGGAGACAGCTAACTATGGACTGAAACTATGGATGTGAGCCACATAAATCTTTCCTCTTTTAACTTAGGATGTCAGTTATTCTGTCTCAGCAACAAGAAGGTATTATATAGGTACTTTATAAGCATTAATTCATTTGACGCCCATACGAGATAGACACAAGCACTATAGGAGATAAATACTATTAATATACAGATGTGGAGAGTGAAACTCATAGACAGTAATTCATACTAAATCTCACAGCTTTTAAGAGAGGATGTACAATCTGGATTCCAAAATCTGTGCTATGAACCATTATGCCAGGGTGACTTTTTTTCTTTGAATGGTAAGAATTAAGGTTCTTTCAACAGAATCAGCTTGGCATCATCTATTCATGTATTTACTAAACATGTTATATGCTTCACTTCTGAAGCCAGCCCTATACAAATCCTAGGAATGAATCTGACCCAGGCAGCCCAGAAGTAAAGGGACAGAGGGAAGGCATGATCCCAACACAATTTATTAAATGCTTTCAAGGAGAAGCTAAATGTCATGATGCCCAGCTGTGATCCCAGTACTCTAGAAGGCCAAGGCAGGCAGACTGCAAGTTTGAGCCTAGCCTGGATAACTTAGTGACAGTGAGAATCCGTCTCAAAAAAAATTTTTTTTAAATGGGGGATTCGGGGATGTAGTTCAGTCCAAAGCCTCTGGGTTCAATTCTCAATACTGAAAAGAAAGAAAGAGAGAGAGAGAGAGAGAGAGAGAGAGAGAGAGAGAGAGAGAGAGAGAGGGGTGTGTGTGTGTGTGTGTGTGTGTGTGTTTGAAAGAGAGAGAGAGAGAGAGAGAGAGAGAGAGAGAGAGAGAGAGAGAGAGAGGAAGGGATGGATGGAGGGAGGGAGGGAGGAAGGAAGGAAGGAAGGAAGGAAGGAAGGAAGGAAGGAAGGAAGAAAGGAAGGAAGGAGGAAGGAAGGAAGGAAGGAAGGAAAAGAAAGAAAAGAAAGCTGCCAAGTTGTCTTACTATGATTGCTATGCTTTAAATCTAAAATGTCCCCCCAAAGTCTCATCTGTTCAGAGGTGGACCTAATCAAGCGATTGGATCATGAGGACATTATAAATTCATCATCAGATTAATCTATTGGTGAAATAATAATTTGATGACATTATTGGGAGGTAACAGAAACTTAGGAGATGGGGCTTAGCTGAAGGGAGTGGGTCATGGGGGATTACCTCGAGGACTGTATCTTGTGCTTAGCCCTTCTTTTCTATATTTTCTCTCTCTGTCTTCTGTCTATGAGGTGAGTAGATTTTCTCTGCCATGTCCTTCTTCCATGACATTCTACACAAAAAATATGAGGCTAGAAACAAGGGAATCAAATCACCATGGGCTAAAACTTCTGAAACCGCAGCCAAAGTAAATCTTTCCTTCCATAATTTGTTATTATCAGGTATCTTACCCCAATAATGAAAAGCTTAGAAACATGGGAAAATGTATAAAACATTACTATAATACTATTTAGGAACACCCAAAGGGGAGCCACACAGAGGGGTCATGTTTGGGTTAAGCCTAGAAATGTGGTTTATTACATCAGATTAAGAAGGTGTGACAATGGTGGTACAATAGGCAGGGGACCTGAAAGAGCATAGGCCACACAGGTGAGAGGTGAGTGTCTGTGGCCTGTGGTTCTGGGAAGGATTAGAGGCCTTGGGATGAAGAGAACTGAGGGGTGAAGCAAAACGAGATGGGGCTCTATTTCTTCTCAGCTCATCTTTACTCCAGTGTCACCTTCCTCTTCCTGAAGTTTCCCAGAACAAGTCAGCAGTCAACCTGGCCTCAGGGAACTCTCCATCAGTTCATCACAAGAGACATACTCAGATATTATCTTAGTTACATTCTTTTTTTTTTTTTTGGTACCAGGGATCAAACTCGGGTCCTTGCGCTTGCGAGGCTAGCAGCAGAACCACTGAGCAAAATCCCTGGCCCTCTTAGTGACATTCTCATTGCTGGGATGGAATACCTAACACCCAAAGTGAAAGGAGAAAAGGTTTATTTTGGCTCAGTTTGTGGAAGTTTATTTCAGTCCATAACTGGCTTGTTCCAAGGCAGAGTACACAACAGATAGGCATCAGAGGAAAAACAGTTCAGTGCAGGCAGAAGGCAGCAAAGCAACAAAGTAGGAAAAAAATAAGTTCAACTAATCTTAGCAGGTTCTTTCTGCCCTTTTTATATTTTGTCTAGGCTACTGGGCTTAAGGAAGATGCCAAACCAATCAGTGGACTGATTTAGTAATCACACATCCTTACTCCCAGCGTCACACACTCTAGATCCAGCCACCTCTGAAACAGCCCCCACTTATAACTGCATGGGGATTTGGGTGGACAAATAGACACAAGCCATAATAAGTACATAGGCTTGGAGGGCATAAAAGAAGTCTCCTTGCATGAAGGAAAAGGTTACCTTCACTAAGTACCCATTATGGTAGGTGCTTTTCTAAAACACTGTATTAATTTTTATTACTATAATAAAATGCATGGTTGTGGGTAATTTTATAAAGAAAAGAGACTTATTTAACTCAGCTCTGCTATGGACCTTAGGAAGAGGGCATAATCAATGGCAGGAAAAAGAAGGAAAGAGAGAGATCACATGTCAAGACATGACATCAGAGCATTTCACCAGAGTCAAGGAAAGACAAATCCCTGATGCTCCACAGGGACATTTCATTCACAGCAGCAGCAAGGCAGAAACAGCTTGGGCCCACTAGATGATCTTGGCTTCCAACGTTGACCCAGGAGTAAATATCTCTAATGGTCCTGTGTACCATATACACTCCTCTCTGATAACAACCTGCTCTGAACTTGGGCTAAGTGCTGCTAATATTGTTGGTCAATTGCAGATGGGCCAAGGGGGTCAGAAACATCCCTTATGTGGAAGGGGCACTTTACTGGCTAAGGCAATTGGAGCTGCTCAAGAAAGAATATTGCAGACTGGGTGGCTTAAATAACAATCATTTTTCTCACAGTAAAAAAATCAAGGTGTTGGCTGATTCAGTTCTTGATGAGGTCCCACTTCCCGGTTTGCAGAAAGACTGTACTTTATGTGACAGAAAGAGAGCTGGCTTGCTCTCCGGACAGTTCTTATAAGGGTACTAATCCAATTCATGAGGCTTCCACTCTCCAGGCCTAATCCTCTTCCAATGGTCCCACCCCCAAATGCCATTGTATTGAGAATTAGGCCTCAATATGCAAATTTTGTTGGTGGGGGGCACAAACATTCACTCCACAGAGGAGTATCATCTCATGTTTGCCTTCCAATAGCAAGAAAAATATTTTATTATGTCCATTTTACAGAGAGGAAGATGAAGGATGAAACATGAAGTGGTAAGTAAAGAATGGTGGCTGGGCAAAGGGTCATATTTCTCCCTGTGTCCCAAGGTGGGGAGGAGAGCTGGTAGCTGCTGCCTAAGTGGTCACTGCATGAAAAGATAGCAGGGCCCACCTCCTGCAGGGCAGGTCTCAGAAACACTGCAGAGGGCCCAGCCTAGAGAAAGGACTCAGCCCCCTAATGGTCCTGTTGAAATCACTGTCTGAACATCCATTCATGAGTGGTCTCCTGAGTACCTCTGGGCCTAGTGTTGCTCATGTATCCGTCCAGTCGTCACGGCCACAACAATCCATCTTGGCCTGTTGCACTTGGAGACCTGGAAAGGGGCCATCACGTGGCCTTTAGAGCTGCTCTGGCATAGTATAAAGTACAAATTTAGGGCCAAAAGAGTGTGAGTCCCTGCTCTGTGTCTTGGGAGGTGCAGGGCCTTTGGGAGAAAGGTGCCTTTCTCCCCACTTTGAAATCAAGAGGGTAGGACTTGAGAGGTGAAGAAGCACAGACTCGCACAATCAGAATTCACACTCCAGACCACAATGCACACTTGTGCTTCCCAGGGGTCTCACAGGTGTTAGAATCTATGGGGGTTTGGAGAATGCAGGTTTAGAGCTCTTCCTTCAACTCGTAAACTGCATCCTGGGGATGAGGCCCTGAAATCCATGTTCTTCACAAGCTCAGTAGGTGATTCTGATGTGTAAGGAGCTTGGAGAGTCAGCTCTCCCCTGCCTCAGGGCATCTGTAACAGGCCCACAGACAGCATCCAGCAGGAGGGTAGCTAACACTGTGGGAACACAGCTGGCAAAGGCTCCATCCCTCAAAGCTAAAAGAGCTGCTTGCTTGGCTGGAGTGACTTCTGTGACTAAAGCATATGATGGAGCCACCAAGAACTACTGTGATTCAACAGGAGTTAAAGAGGACCAGGTCTGGCCTTTCCTGCTAAGGGTTTCATCCTTGGCCTGATCAAGGGAAGCTTAGCTTGGCTGGGGATTTAGCTCAGCGGTTCAGTGACCTGCCTTACAAGTTCAAGGACCCAAGTTCATTCCCCGGTACATAAGAAAAGAGAGAGAGAGAGAGAGAGAGAGAAAAGTTTAGCTTCCCTGTAGATATCTTAGACTATTTCAATTTTCACAACTTATATGAGTTAAATTAAATTCAACATTCCTTGTAGTGTGTTAAATTCTCCTCAATATTTGTTCTGCTTATAAAACCCCCCAATGAAAAGGCATAGTGACAAGTGTTTAAAAGGTCTTTAATATTGTCGAGAGCAAGGTTGATGGCTTAATCCCCTATCGTCCTTTATCAGATCCACCTCCCAGCAGCTCTAAATTATAGTGCAATTTAAGCAAAAAGTCAGTATGCTTCCCATAGAAATGCAGTTTCACAACAAAACCTTTAGCCCACATCGAGCTATCTCCAACTGCCCCTAATTTTTCTTCTATAGATGCTCAGCAGCTGCCAGGGTTTCTGTTAAAATACTTGAACACAATGGACCAATCAGCACTTGCTATGGTTGGCAGCTGAGACTGATGTCTGTGTGTCTGATTAGTGTTGACTTAGTCTCCCATCATAGCTTTGGTACTGAGAACTGACCACCCCTGCCCCACCCCCACAGCTGCCTCTTTGCCCATTTCTCCAGCTCTCATTTGTGCTCATTTGTGACACTGGCCTGAGTTTACAAGTAACACTGAATGACTTCCTGATTGACTGATTGATTGATTCTGTTGTTATAGAAACTACCAGACTCCAGTGTAATGGTATTTCTTCCTGACTTTATGTGTGACAAGGTTCTGTCTCCCTGGGCTGGCTTCATCTGGATCAGGAAGAGTAACCGCATGCACAGCATCAAGAGGAAGGTGAGATAGTGGTAAACCTTGGTGAAGAAAAACAATAAGGTGGAACAAATGATCATGAAATGTGGAAAATTCCATCAGAAGTAGCCTATGCGATGATTATGGATATTGGGGGTTTAGGTTCAAGCTAGGCTTGTGTTCACATTCTCCGTTCCTTCACTTATTAGATTTCCTCATTTGTAAAACCAGGATAGTACTTATGCCTTTAGGTTCCCTTGAGAAATAGATGAAAGGTTGCCAATAAGACAGAAATCATACAGCCTGAGACCTCTGAGGGACCATTCTCTAAGGCTCTTGGGTAGAAACTTAAATAACAAACAATACTACATAATTTGGGGAACATCTTAAATGTGCTCATGTAATGTGCTATCATTTTTGCTACAAAAATACAGTGTAAGATGATTATAGGAATTCGAGAAAATATTAATTTAAGGGTCCCTGTGAACTCTGTACCCAGAAATTAGATACCAGGGTGTATGAAGAATATCCTCTTCTTGGGGAATGTCTGTGATTTTGTTTGTAATCTTTTTTTAATATGACATCAAAATTAAATTTGTAGTCCCTTGTGAATGCACTACCCAGGTGATACTTCTGCCCCCCAATAAACTTCCTTGGGTATACAATAAGTTTTCAATACACATTAGTGGTGTTAAGCATCATCAAAATGTCTCCAGTAAGGCTGAAACCACTACACATATTATACTCGTTCTTAGCCAAAAGGCCGAGAAGCAATACAACACATATTGCAAATGGAGTTATGCCAATGCATGCTGTATGGTGACAGGGACACTTGGGTTCCCATTGGGCAGCACAAAGATTACTGACCCACCTGCCCACAGGCCTTCCAGCTCCTGTGCATCAATTGGCACCTTCCTTTTGAATGGGACCCCAGCTACCTGCTCAGCGTTGTGCCCTTGTTCAAATTCCCCATTCAATTCCTTTGTACACCTGCATAATAACCATAATCATGCTCACAGATGTTTCCTGTTCTCCCTGCTCATTGGAGTTAGTCTTCTCTGTCCTGTTGGCCTTGTGACTCTGGTGAATCAAGTGTGAGGTAAGTGACATTCTCTTTCAGAGCTAATGTGTAGTGCGCTAGATTACCCTCCCTCTGCCACAGCAACCAGTGGTGGCTGCTGTGTCACATTAGGCACTCGAGTCAGAGAACATGAGGGAGGGAAAGGAAGAGAGCATGAGTAGAGGGCAAGGACATGTAGCATAAGTTTTGCCAATTAAAAATACATCAGCATTAACTGGCTTATCCTTTTTGGCACTTTCCATTTTAGACTCACTATATTGTAATAATTTTGTTTATATGCTTGCCCTCCCACTCATGAACTTTCTAAGGGCAAAGACAATGCTACTTATTTCTGATTCTGAAGTTTCCAGCAAAGTGCCAGTATATGATACACACATGCACACACACATATGCATAAATAATTAATTATTAATATGCGTTCACTAAATGAATAAACCATAATAAGGGTGGCCGCTTTAAGTCACTGTTAGCTTCATGACACGGATGTATCTATGCTTTTATTTGCACAAGGTCTTTATATTACATTTCTTTATCTCTTCTCATGGTCCTTTAGCCCAAGAAGTCATCTAACAGCCCATCATAGATTATTCCTACATCTCCTGATTGATTCAGATATCCATTTATTTGTCCCTTCACTTACTATACATATATTCATTTATTCATCCAATGTCTGAATGTCTGCTCTATGGCAGGTACTGTGTTATAGATTGGTAATATGAAGATGTATAGCCCTGTTCTTGCTATATAATAATACAGTGAGTGAGTAGCTGTTAACACACATAGGAGTGAGCCCTCAATAGACACTGGACACCTGATCTTCTTTTGGGGGGGTATTTTTTATTGGTACATTTTAGGTATACAATACAGTTACATTCATCATTGGGGTTTTGTGCCTTTACATAATATATCTTGGTTCTTATGTTTTCCCCCTGGCCTCCCTTCACCCCTCCACCCTTTCTCACTTACAAAGACTTTGTTTCCATTTTTTTCCTTTCTCTGATTTGTTCTTTTCCCTTCTTACCTTTCCTCCACCCCTCTCACTTCCCCCACAACTTTAGACCTTTTTTTCCTATTACTCAATATTAATTATACAGTTTGATCCTTATTTACACTTTTAGTTTACACACCAAAGAAACTATATGGTATTTACATATGTGAGTCCTGTTAATTTCACTTAAGAGTATGTCCTCAATGTGCATCCACTTAGCTATAAATGTTTCTCATTTGTTATGGCTGAGTTGTACTCCATTTTATAGAAAAAAACACATCATCTTTGTCCAGTCTGCAGGTGATAGGCAAATGGGCTATTTCTGAGTTTTAGCTATTACAAACTGTGCTGTTATAAACATAGGTGAGCATATATCACTGTAGTTTGATCCTTTTAATTCTTTTGGGAAGATACCCAGCAGGGGAATAGCTGGGTCAAATGGAACTTACAATCCTAGTTGTTTAAGGTGGGAGTGTTGGTTGCACTTCCACTAACAATGAAGAAGGGTTCCTGTCTCCTGCAACCCAGCCAGCTTTTGTTATTGGCTAATTTCTTGATAGCCATTCTTTCTGGGATGAGGTGGACTCAGTGTTGTTTTCATCTGCAACTCTTGAATGACCAGTGATGTCAAACATTTTTTCATATGTTCATTTGCTGCTTTTACTTCTTTGTTTGAGAAATGTCTATTCACTTCAGATGACAATTTTGAATTGGGTCATTATATTTGATTTTTTTATTGTTGTTCTTTATATTCTGGATAGTATAAGGAACAGTTGGAGAAATTTTTTCTCATATTATAGGCTGTCTGTTAACTCTGTTGGTGGTTTCTCTTGCTGTATAGAAGCTTTTTAAAAAGATGAGATCCCAGTTGTTGATTCTTTGTGCTAGTTCCCGTGGTACTGAGGATTTGTTCATTAAGTCTTTTCCCATGCCACCATTTTTAAGAGTTCTACCTAATTTATCGTCCAACAAGTTTAGGATTTCTGTATTAATATTTAGAACTTTAATCCACTTGGATTTTAGTTTAATGCATGGTGAAAGATAGGGTTCTAGTTTTAATCCTGGCAAGTTGAGATCCAGTTTTTCCAACACCATTTTTAAAGAAGCTATCTTTCCTCCAGTGAGGATGGTTGGGTCCTTTGTCAAACTCAAGGTTGAGTATGTCTAGAGTTTTTTCTGCATCTTTTAATCTATTCCACTGATCCTCAGGTCTGTTTCTTTGCCAGTACCATGCTGCTTTTATCACAGTGGCTTTGTAGAATAGTTTCAAGTAGGGGATTGTGATACCCCCTGCCCTGTCTCTGTTTCCTAGAATGGCTTTTGCTATTCTAGGTCTCTTCTGGTTAGAAAAAAATTTTTGGATTGTTTTCTCTAGTTTTGTGAAATACACTATTGGAATTTCAATCAGAATTGCATTGAATCTGTATAGCAGTTTTAGAAGTATAGCTATTTTGACTATATTGGTTCTTTCTACCCAGGAACAAGGTATGTTTTTCCATTTTATTATATCCTTTTCAATTTCTTTTTTTCAGAATGTTTTAGTTCTCAATGTAGTGGCCTTTTTCTTCCTTCATTAGACTGATTCCTAGATATTTCATTTTTTCAATGCTATTGTGAAAGGAATTATTTCCTTAATTTGTCTCTCAATGAATCTGTTATTTGTGTACAAGAAGGCTATTGATATTTGAGTGTTTACCTTGTATCCAGCTACTCTACTGAATCTGTCAATTAAGTCTAGAAATCTTTTGGTGGAGTTATTTTGGTCTTCTGTATAGACTATCATATTGTCAGCAAATAATGACAGTTTAACTTCTTTTTCCTATATTTATTGCTTTTATTTCTTTCTCCTGTCTACTTGCTGCAGCTAATGTTTCCAAAACTATACTAAACAGGAGTGGTGATAGTGGACATCGTTGTCTTGCTCCTGATTTTAACATGAAGTTTTTCAGTTTTTGACTATTTAGTATGATGTCGGCTGTTGGTTTTTCATAGATAGCTTTTATCAAGTTGAGACAAAGACCCCATCTGTTTGAATTTTCTTCAGAGTTTTTATCATGAATGAGTGTTGAATTTTGTTGAATGCTTTTTCTGCATCTATTGAGATGATCATATGGTTTTTATCTTTGACTCTGTTAATATAGTGTATTACATTTATTGATTTATGTATGTTGAATCATCCTTGCATCCATGGGATAAATCCAATTTGGGTGTATAATCTTCTTGATGACTCTCTGTATTCTGTTTGCCAGTATCTTATTGAGGATTTTTGCAACTATGTTCATTGGGGAGATTGGCATGTAGTTCTCTTTTTTGGTTGGGTCTTTCCCTGGTTTTGGAACCAAAGTAACTCTTGCTTCTGGAATGAATTTGGAAGTATTTCTTCCATTTCAGTTTCATTGAAGAGTTTAAAGAGTACTAGTGATAGTTCTCTAAATGTCATGTAGAATTCAACAACGAAGCCATCAGGGTTTGGGCTTTTCTTTGTTGGTAAATTTTTAATAATGTACTCAATTTCACTGATTGTAATTGAGGTGCTTAGAATTTTTATATCTTCTTCGTTCAACTTTGGTAACTCATATGTATCTGGAAGCCTGTCCATTTCTTCTGTGCTTTGCCTTTTATTAGAATACAGGTTCTCAATGTAGGTAGTGATGATCCTCTGGATTTCTGCTGGATCTGTTGTGACTTCACCTTTTTCATTCCTAATTGCATGGATTTGAGCCTTGTCTTTCCTTTATTTTTTGATAAGGTTGGCTAAGGGCTTATAAATTTTATTTATTCTTTTGAAAAACCAACTCTTCAATTCATCGATTTTTTTGGTATTGTTCTATTTGTTTCCATTGCATTGATTTCTGCTCTGATCTTTATAATTTCCTCCCTTATATGAGTTTTCAGTTTGCCTTGTTCTTCTTCTTTAAAAGCTTAAGATTCAGCATTTGGTTGTTATTTGAGCTCGCTCTGTTTTCCTAGTGTGGGCATTCACTGCTATAGATTTTCCTTGTAAAATTGCTTTCATTGTGTCCCATAGATTCCTGTATGCTGTATTGGCATTATCATTTATTTGTAAAAACTACCTAATTTCTTCTGTGACTCATTGATTATTCAGGAGAGTGCTGTTCAATTTCAATGTGTTTGTGAAGTTCTTGTAGTTTCTTATGCTATCGAACTCCAGTTTAATTGCACTATGGTTTGATAATACACATGGGATGACTTTGATTCCTTTGTGTTTACTTAAACATGTTCTATGAACTAGTATGTGGTCTATTTTGGAGAATGACCAATTGGAGCTGAAAAGAATGTATATTCTGATTTTGTGGGGTGGAACACTCTGTAGATATCTATTAAGTCCATTTGTTCAAAAGCTTGGTTCAGTTCTAGTATTTTATTGTTGATTTTTTTGTCTAGATGATCTATTTGTGACTATGGGGTATTTAGGCCCCAAGCACAATTGCATTAGTGCATATTTGTTGTGTCGTGTGCCTTACTGTTTGTTTTGTATAGCTGGGGACATTAATATTTGATGCATATATATTTATGATTGTCATCTCTTCCTCTTGGATTGTTCACTTTGCAAGGGTATGATGACCTTCTTTGCCTCTCAATTAGTTTTGGTTTGAAATTTACTTTGCCTTCAAATAAGATAGCTATCCCTTTTTTCCTGGTTCCTGTTGCATGGAGAACTGTTTTCCATCCTTTCACTTTCAGTCTATGAGTTTCTTTTTTAACTAGGCCCATTTCTTTTATATGACATATTGTTGGGTTTTGCTTCTTAATCCATTCTGCCAGTCTATTTCTTTTCTCTCTCTCTCTCTCATTGAGTTTATTGGTACATTTTAGGTATACAGTACAGTTACATTCATCGTTGGGATCTTGTACCTTTTCGTGACAGGTCTTGGTTCTCATTTTTTCCCCTTGTCCTTGCCCTCCCTCCACACCCTCCTCCCCTCCCCATTTACAAATACTTTATTTCCATTTTTCATTTTTTCATATTTTTTTCTTTTCCCTTATTACCTTTCCCCTACCCTCCTCA